TACAAATCGTAATTAAGCCACTTGGCTGCAATGGGTAAACTCTCGATGAACTCCTCGATCCTTCCCCTCTCCCCTAACCAGTGTATAATATTATTGTGTCCTGTTCCAGTGCACACACAAACACCACCGAGTCACCCAATAAGATGCAAATGAGAGGCATTGTGGTTTGCCGCAAAGAGCCCTCTGACCCATTTAACGAGGACCGTATACCTCTATACTCGGATGGCAGTTTTGCGGTGGGATGAGTAGATTCGTGGTTGGGAAGGTAGTTGTAGGTGTTCGATGTGTGTGAATCGGTAATGGTGACCGTGTGGGGATAAATATATACAGTGTATATAATATGTGTATAGGCGACAACCAATATAAGACCCCTCTCCGGTACACGCACGTATAATATACCCTTACCAAAGTCAAAAGCTCGCGGGCTCCCCTATAGAAGAGGATGCCCACACAATTGTATATACGTGCACACACACACACACACACACACATATATATATATATATGCATACATACATGGTGGGATCGGATCACCGTAGAAGAAAGGTGCATGCGATTTACGTGAGAGGAGGGAGTAAGGGGATACAGATTGGCTTTTAAGTCCTTTGCAAACGGATRGTGCGCGCGGTCCACTGCTGCTACTATACCACTCGTTGCATCCCATACGTSCCGCCTTCATCGTCAAAATATCTATGGTTATTCTTCAAGCGCCAATTCGAAAATTAAAAACGTAATATTATATACTATTGTTATATAAAAATGTCAACCGATATTCGGACGGTGAGCGAGGAGCAACAAGTGTGTACACCGGTAGCGACGATGAAATAAACCAGTGTTATAATAATATTAACATATAATTATTGTATATAATATTATGTGATTATATTACATCCCTTTAGTAATGGTGGCGGCGTCACGCGTCGGTGGAAAGCAGACCGGAAGTAATTTTAATTACTAAGCGTATGTACAACGACGATGAGACGTTATAATAACGATGTATATGCATATATAATATATATATTTTCCTGAATAACTTCGTTGACGACCGATGCATGGAATGGTGAGATGATCACCATTTAATAAATTACGCCGAATAATTATGACGATGGCCTAACAACAAGTGTCATTTTTAGAACACCGAGAGTGACCAATAACATATTGCAWTGTAGCCATCAATCTTTTTTCGACCGTATAAATATTATTATACTAACATAATGTACTAACGCT